TCCACTTAAATCCTCCAGGATTGCAGAAATCAACAAATATCCCCTTTCTTTATTCTAATTTTTAAGACTGTTGCAGGTCCATAACTGCTAATTCTACCAGTACTGGAATGAGAGGCTTGTGAAATACAGCTTTTGCTAGGGACTCTAGTCACCGTACACAATTGGGAATCTGATGCTTCCATGTTGTTTATGAGGCCCATCACAAGATGGCACAGATGCTGTTGAGTTTGGCACAAAGCTTCCTCTAGCTATCTTAGGCATTGACTCCGTACTTTTGAGAGCCTTATTGCTTCCATGGTAAACAGTAAGTGGAGGATGAGAGGGAGTTTTAAAAAGGAGCTATATTCTGATCTTCAGGCAGGATGTTAGACTCATCTCAGTCACAAGCTGCAACTGGAAGCACGAACTGTTCCTCTGATGACTTCTATGTTCTCCAAATTTTGCCAACATTCACCTCAAAATTCACTTGGTTGCACTGAGTGCACTGGATGTTTCCTCTGGTCAAGACCCTTACTCCCGCTTTTCAGAACTGAAGCGACAAGGTAAAATACTGCTAACCCAGACTGAATCTGCACTGCTTGAAAACAATGCTTTCTACACACACAACAGAGAGGAAAATAAAAACAAAAACAAAATAGGAATCTTAGAAAGAGTGACACTGTAACTGGAAACATTTAAATACAGCAAAACATAAATTCCTCTTCTATGCAAAGCTACAAAAGTCCAGTCTTTGTATTGTCTTCACAGGTTATGGTTTATGGCTATGCTGAGAGTCTCTGAGATTCTTTTTTTTTTTTTTTTTTTTTTAATATATTTTTTTTTCATTTTTTTGAAATCCTGTAGAGTAGACCCTGCAGACACATCTTTGTGTTTGCAACTTTCTGAATTACATTGCAAAACTGTGCATACAGAATCTGAGAAATAAATACATTCATTACTGCACATACATCTTGATACAAAAACAACACTGTCAAATAGTGTTTGCACCATCTTTGTTAGATATTAAGACCAGGCAAAATTAATATTTCATTTTCCATCAGCCCCCCCATCAAATGTTTGAGGTGGCTTTGGTGTAGAAGGTAAAAGATACAAAGGGTCAAGACTAATGATGGAGAGGTTTTCTAAAAAACAATCCTTTCTTTTTTTTTGGCTTCAGCAATATTTTTGCAAACCACCTTCATTGGTCATCATTAGACTCTTCTAACATGCAAATCTATCTTAAGTTTCACCTAGAAAGCCTTATGGTTTTTGGTTGGTGTCTTTGCACGTGACTGCAAGGTATGGAGTGAATCACTCCGGCTGTTTAATTAAAAGGTGGCTCAGATAGTCAGAACAGCATAGCTCAGGCCCCAGGGCAGCTCTGGGTAGAAGAAGGGAGCTACGTGTCTGCGCTCGTGCCCTCACCCCAGACCAGTAAAGCTTCCCTGGCCACCACTGCATTTCACAGGGAGATGCCGCCTCTGCGCAGCCCGTGCTGACGCAGAGAGTGGCACAGAGTTGTGCATATTCTTCCACATCAGCAGCCACAGAGCCTCACAGAAGCTGCGTGTCAATAGCTCTTTGGTGTTTTCTGTGATCTTTGTGGCTCCTGCTAACTTCCCCAAATGCACAGAGCTGGGCTTTCATTTATTTTTGCCAGGAATTTGGTTTTGGAGGTCTTGCAGTAAGGGCAGGAAAACAGCTAAACCTAGCTCAGTGATTGCTAGCCCGAGGGAGATGAGCTGGGTATAGCAGCTCCCTCGTTTCTGACAACTCTTCTCTGATCCCCAAAACTTCTCCCATCCCTGTATGCTCTCCTGGGGCTTCTCCACCCTCCCACTCAAGGTCCTCTGAGGAAGAAGTTGGCTGCTCCCCATGGCTGCAGGCTGTGGGCCTTAGCAGCTGAGCCTGCACAGTATGAGGGCCTGGGCCTTGCACAGCAGCATCCCTCATGGGCTGGAGACAAAAAGTCCTAAACCTACGTGCCATAGTTCTGACTGCTCTCCCTCCCCACCCTCACTAAGCAGTGTTGGAATGCAGGCTGGCTTGCAGTTCCCCCCTCCCGAATTGGGGAATCTGCAATAGCCTTCAGAAGAGAAACCAATGGAAAAAACAAAGATTAATTTTGACTGGCCCCTAGATCTGTTGAGGTCTGAAACTGTAAAAGTTTATGTAAACAATGAGATAAATATATTAGTACTTTTCTGAGCCAAGTGAGGTTCCATACTCATTCAAATGTGCTTTGGTTTAAAAAATAGTTTTGTGAATTTGGGTATGAGCTTATTTTTTATACAACTTTCACTATTTTATCCTTTTTTTTTTTTTTTCCTGTTACTCCGAAAACATTCTGGAACTAAGTGACTAAAGCATATGCTTAAGCTGCCAGGCCTCTTTTTTTTTCTTTCTTTTCTTTTTTTTTCTTTTTTTTTTTTTTTCTCTTTAATGTTTTATTCCTCTTGAGGCTCTCTGTGTATCTTGAAAAAAAAAAAAGCAACTCCCTCCCCCCACCCTAAAACTCTTAAAATCTTAAATATGAAACTAGTGTTTTGCTTTCTCATTAAAATACAGAAAAATGTTTGATACAATACTATGTCGTACAAATGCAGTTGAGTGTTCAGGCCCCAAGCAGGCCTTAAACAGTCCCTGAAGTTTTGAGTATTATTAGTTATTCATTATTACTGTCACAATTTGGAAAATGTTTATACTCAATCTACGGAACACAACTTTACGCAGCTACTTGAAAAAAGAACAAAATTTCCTTTTGTACAATACTCTTGCTGTACACAGACTTTAGTCGTATTGTTTAAGTGCTGGGGGAGAGGGATAAAGTAAAAAAGCCATTCTGGGGAAAAAAAAAAAAAGCATTGGGTCCTGAAATTTCAAAATGATTCTCAAAGCTTAAGAAAGAAATGAAGAAGGTACCTAGAAGGGGAAGGAGAAGCTACATCACTCACACGCATGCTTGTAAAAATGGAATTAAACGAGGGGGAGCAGGTTGGTTGCCCACTTTGGATCTGACTGTGCTTCCCTGAGCTGTGGGTGCTCCATGCCTTGGCTCGGCAGCCCCAGCTCCAGCTGCATCCTATGGCCTCTGCACAGCTGCCCTCCCACTTACCCCATCATCACAACAAACTGTGGGGCTATGAGCAAAGTGGGGAAAATGGTGCCCAAAACCTACTGCAGAGGCAGAGTTTACTGCCAGCGACGTCTCTCACTAGGAGAGCTAAAGATAATTGTCAAAATCGGGACTTGGTGGGTTCCGAGCCAGCCAGCAGAAAAGGAGGCTCTGCTGTGGCAGCAGCCAGAGGCAGCATGAGATTGAGCTCAGCTTTCAGGCCGCTGGAGGGAAGGTGAAGGCAGTATTAAAGTGCCTTGGAACTAATTTTGTATGGCTGTCCTTAAGCCCTGCTGGGACTTACTTCGAGAAGAAGGTAGATGGCAAGGCCTTCCCTCTTTTCCCCAAAGATGATTCTGGGGATGTTCTTAGGGAGGGGGTTGGCTGGGAACTGAGGGAAGAAAAATTCAATATAAATTCAAATGTGGAAGTGCTAAAGACACTAAAAACACACCTAGCCTCCCCAGAAGAAAAGAGCGTGCCTCAGCACGATGAGAAATGAAAAGTCCGTGCTCCCCTCATGCCCCAAGTCACAGTGGGGCCAGAGCAGGCAGACAATAGCACGAGCAAACAGCACAGCAGAGCGGGCAGGAGAGGGGCAGCGTGTTCCCTGTAATGTGACACCAGGCCAAGGCGCAGCTCAGTCTATTGCTTGGAGCCTGGATTCCAGTTTCCTCAGTTCATTCAACTGACCCAAAAACTTCTTTTGGACTAGTCCATCTTAACAAAAAAAAAAAAAAGAAAAAAAAAAAAGAAGCTTATATTTCTTAGTTTTAGACAAACATGCTCACTTTTTTTCTTTTTCTTTCTTTCTTTCTTTTTTGGTCAAAACTTAAAAAAAAAAGTTTATTTTTTAAAAAAAGATAAAATGTGAGGTTTGGTAAACCCTATTCAGAGACTATACTGGTTTGAGTGGGGAAAAAAAAAGGAGAGAGAAAAAATACAAGTGTAAACTTCTCAATTCAGAAGGGATGATTCTACTGGCTGTGAATTTTTACCACCACAGTCACAGGAGGCTTGAAATAAGCCATAGCTTTCCACAAGGTCACGCCAACAAAGTCAAGGGGGCCAAGAATTGGTGGGCTGAGTTCTCTGTCTCTTCTCCTAAACCAATAGCAGCTGTTGGCTGTGATGTCTTATGCAGATGTTGCAAGAACATTTTGTTTCTTTTCATTTTTCTTTCTTTTTGTGTGCGTGTGTTAAACTGTGTAAAAAGGAGGATATGAAACACTTTGGTTTGCTTTTTCCTCCTCTCCTCCACCTTATTGCACTCTGGATTCTAGTAAATTATAGACTGCTATGCCCTCACCCTCTGTCCTGCCAGGTGTTTACAGACTGACCCAGATGTGCTGGGGGAGTGGAAGATGAGGGGGGCATTTTCCTCTCCCCATAGTATCCAGATTCAATAAACAAAGCTGGAAAGGGCCCAGAAAACTCAGAGCAGTTTTCTTCTTTTATCTAAAAGTGACTACAAACAGCCAAGAGACTGCGAACGAGCCAGGCTGAGCAGCCAGCACAGCTTCTGGCTCAGCATATTTTTTGCTTTGTCTTTGGCCAAGCTTTGCTTTAACATTTCTCTAGCTGACTTGATGGAAGGACAGGGTGGTAAAAATCCCTTAATTTAATTTAGCTTCTACCTTTATACATTTAATTACTTACAATAAGAGAAAAAAAAATGCCTAATCTTTCACTAACCATCTTATTGTTCTCATGAATTCAAGAGGTAGCAAAGGTAACAAGTCTGTACACACAGACTTGTTCTTTAGTGAGGGAGGAAAGCTAAAAACATACACACACACACAAAAAAAATAAAATAAACAATAATAAAAAAGTACCTAAGGAACTTGTAGCAAGTCCAGCCTACATCAAACCCCCTCCCTACCCACCCACCATAGAATTAACCTCAGACCTTCCAGTTCAAACATTCACATAAACGTTACAATGGTTTTTCCTTTAATAAAAGTACCTCTAAGCAAAGAATATTCATACGAAACTACTAGAAAAGTAAAGACGACCCCCTGCTCACTGAAAAATTCTCAGGGCATCCAGTCCCTGGTTCAGTCATGGGTAAGGCTGAAGAGGTTTGCATGTTTTGTGGGAAAAGGTGGTATGTGGTTACGTGTGCCAAGGATAAAGATTAAAACCAAATGAGTGAGGGATGGTAAGGAAAGCATCACCAGCTCTTTAAGCAAAGCACCCTGGCACTGCATGCCTAGGTAGATGGCTGTCTCCACCATGGCGAGCCCAGCAGGGTGGGTGGTGGGTTCCGTCACTGCTTTGGCTTTACCACAGCATCCAAAAGGGCTGCCAACCCTGCAAGATGGTCCACAGACACAGTTTCCGTGTTTGTGAGGGCAATGCAATGTTTTTTCATAGATGTATGCTATTTTCTTTTGAATGGCAAGAAATACCCTACTGAGTTTCATTTTAAGAGAGGACATGACTAGGGCCACAGCATCGCATAGGAAAGAGGCAGGGAGGCTGGGTCCAGCAGAGAACGAAAGTTCCCTGTGGTCCTCCTTCTTGCTTCAGATTCCCAAAATGACAGTGAAGTCAGTGCACATGGAAAGAAGTGACATTTCATGCTAGATCACCAAGATTTTGAGGGAGAGTTGGACTAAATGCATCAGCTTGGCTGTGGACCTTTTTTTTTTTTTTTTTTTTTTTTTTAAAGGGAAAACAACTTTTAAAAAAATGTTAAAGCTACATTTGTTTAGGCCTCCCATGACTGAACAGAGTATGGGGAGTTGCCCCCTTTTTTGTTTGTTTGCTTGTTTTTGTTTTTTTTAAGCAGCAAGTCTTACAGAAAGGTAAATCACTGCGGATGGGCTCGAAGCTCATTCTGGAGTCTTTGGCTTATGTGGGAGAGGTATGCATTCGCAGGTGGCTGATCAGATTGCGCTGCTGGGTGAATTTCCCACCACACAGTTGACATTCGTAGGGTTTTTCTCCTGAGTGGACACGCATATGCTCTGTCAGTCGGTACTGCCGGGTAAAGCGCATCCCGCATTCCTCACATGCAAAGGGCTTGAGCCCCAGGTGGCTGCGCATGTGCCGTGTCATGGTGCCCCGCTGTGTGAACATCTTGCCGCAGATGTTGCAAGGGAAAGGCCGCGTCAGCCAGTGAGTCTTCTCATGCTGTCGCAGTGTCGCTGGATCCTTGTAGCTCTTCTCACACACAGAGCACTTGAAGGGCCGGGACTCTGCAGAATAGGACTGGTTGGGGTTGGACAAATCCTCGGCTTCATCCTTGCCACCATATGTGCCTTCCTCCTTGATGTAAAGGTCTTCCTCAGTGTGTGTCTCCACATGGGCATTCAGCTGCTCAGAGCTGGGGAAGCCTTTGCCACAGGGAATGCAGACATACAGGTTGTCACCATACGCCACTGGCTCAAATCCCTCCTGTCGGTAGACGTAGTTGGCACTGGTATGCCCACCACTCTCGCTCTCACTCTGGCCGCTGTCATCACTGTTCTCCTTGCCATTTTCTACCTCCTCCTTACACGAGTAGGGCAGGTCTGCACCATAAGCCCCAGCCAGGCTCCGCTCCACAGACTTGGACAAGGGCCCCAGCAAGATCCCATTGGGCAGCCCTTCGCCTTCATCCCTGTCTTTGCCTCCATCCTTTCTGTCAAAGGCATTATCTTTCTTGATCCACTCCTTCTTACGGGACGAATGCCGGAGGCCCTTGCGCTGGCTGCTCTCTGTCAGCGAGTGGTGGCACTCCTCGCTCAGATCCATCTCCATGGGGTCACTGCTGTCCGCTATGCTGTGAGGGGCTCCAACTCCAGACTCGTCAAATGATGAGGCACTGTTGGCTGCAGGGGCTGAGGCAGATTGAGGAGAGCCATGCTGGCTTTCACTGTGCTGCGTGTCATCGTGAGAGGCTGCAACTGGGAGTGATGGACTCTTTTTGGACAAATCGAGGCCGAGCTCCTGATCACCAGTGCTCCCATTTGCACTACCACCCCCACCACAATTCTTACTGGCTCCCCTGCTTAAGGAGTGACAGTTCTCTTGATTGGAGCTGCTGATAAAGACCTCATCATCAGAGAGCTTTCCCTTTGACAGCTCCTTTGTATGGGAGCCCTTCAACCCCTCATTTGACCCTGAATAGCGAGCTTGAATGACAGAAGCAGCGGAAAGTCTCTGAGTCCTGGCAGATCTCCCAACACCAAGGCCACTGGCCTTGCCAGAGAAGGACTTGCTGTTTCGCTTTAGCTTCTTTCTGCAGAGAGCTGCCAGGTCGTGCAGTTGGAGGTAGCTTGCTGCGGTGAGGAGAGCACTGAAGTTCTGTTCACCGGGCTGGTCAGTCGTTAAGAGCTTACCAGTATAAATAAAGTCCAAGATCTGACGGAACACGGTGGGGTTCACCATGTCCGTGTCTAAGTTAATCAGGTTGTCATGCAGGACAAGGGATTTGAAATACATGCTGCTGGCTGCCAGGATGTTCTTATGGGCACGAAACAGGGCATTTTCTACCACAATGATCACATCACAGAGGAAACCTTTGGCTCGTTGCTGGTTCAGCTGCAGTAGCAGTTGTTTGGCATGATTTGGCAGTTCCATCTCCACCTTCTCTTCCTTTCACCTTCACTTTACCACCTGCAAAACAGGATGATGGGAAGTGTGAACCTGCTGTTTCCACTCAAACATGTCTACATTTAATAGACTGGCTTAACAGTGTGCAGTCTTTGTTCAACTTGACACTGACTATGGAGGTCTGGATATGATGTAGCCTTGCAAGCTGTGATCCTTCCTGGATTACGGACAGAAGTATTACTCACACTAAGATTTCAAGTCTCAAAAATCAGATTTTTACAAAAGAAATCATCATTGGCTGGAATTGCTATTCAAAAGACACTAGTGAGAAAACAGTAGTTAGGTATAGGGGAAAACTTTTTGCTTTTCCTAACACAAATCTGAAGGGGGAATAAGGAGAAAGATAAAAAGGAAAGGGAAAAAAGCATCTCTCTCTCTGCCATTTGTATATCTGAGCATGTAAAATAACTAGCATAAGCTTCACCTTCCCTGCTTTAATGTGTAGTTTGTTTCTTGGCTTTAATACGATGAAGTCTTACAACATATTAAACTCCAGCAGCTCTGGGGTTGAGAAAATGACATTTAGCAACTAAATCCAGTGGAGATGGAATTAATCACACAGAGGTGTCAATGGGAAATCTCCTTAAGAAAGGCTGTTTTAAAAATCACCCCCCCAGGCAATGTCCATATCCTGATCCACTAACATTAAGTGCTAGAATCAACCTTGGACTGCCTGAAATTCAGGATGCTGAGCTAGCTAAATGCCAGCAAGTATATTTAACAATCTGAAACTGTTTTCTCAAGTTAATTCCTCCCTTAATTTTGAAAGATTTTTGTCTAAACAAATAGAATTCAAGTAATCTATCTCAAATAGCAGTCTCTCTACCCTGAAATACTGGTAAGAGAGTAAGATTGTGGTTACCTCTGTGTAGTTCATGTATTTCACTAATGGTATGTACAGTGTAATTTATTTTAGATATTTATATTGATTTATATTGATGGCCCTTATTAAGCAGTTGGTTTGAGGAGGATCCAAACTAACTGCCACCTGCAAATTTGGTAGATATGAGAACGTAGAAATTAGAATTTAAAATCAGGGCTGCATTCAGAAATCCAAGATTAATTTTGTTTCTTTTGTTGTTGTTGATATTTTTGTTTGAAAGCATCGGCTGCTACTTGTAATGGGCATTTATCTGTTAATTTAAAATTCATTTAAAGTAATTTCTGAGCTTCAAACATAAAACAGCTACCTTCATCTTTCCCCTTCTCCCTTTCTTTCCCAGTTCATCTTATTATTGAAATAGATTTCTGCTTTTGATGGAGGAGCAGGCCCTACATCCATAGAAATGAAGATTATTCTCTTAAAATCATCTTGACTTAATGCTTTTATTGTTTGTGTGTTCCATTCTGTCACATCAGATTTCAAATGATAAAGCATTAAGCTGATCTAGGCTTATCTTCTCTCTGGGTCAAGTATGTGTACTCAAGAAAAAGAAATAATGAATAATACCTCCATAGTTTAAAAAAAAAAAAAAAAAAAAGCCTCCTTCATACCTTACTTATATTCTTACTGACTGGTGATGAATAAAAAGTTTTCATTTTGCAGAAAGGTGTTAAATTTACGTCATCTGTTTCCGTGCAGCAAAAGGATTTTTCTTTACGAAAGAAGCAACCAAAAAGTAAACTGCTTTTCTTCCCAAACTGCTGACTCACTAGAATGGCACTTCTGCAGTTACCGAACAATCTGCCAAGCAGGTGCCTCCCTTCTTCCACAGGACACATTTTTTCGGTTGACCAGCCTGCAATTTGCCATTGCATTTGGTAGAATTTTGTGGCCCTTGTTCTGTGCACACAAATCACTATTGCTTTTCACCTTGATCCACAGCTAAAATGACTGTTCTGCTTTTCTGTTCCATTTCTATCCATTTCACAATGGATGGGATCCACATTAAATGGTGAATTCACTGCTCATTAATACTGCTTGCCAAGATGGCTGGCTTTAAAAAGGGTCTCAGCCAAAGAAGGAAATACAGGCTTGCTACGGTTTTAGACAATTATTTCTTCTCTCTTTATAGTGTTTCTGTCATAGAAATTCATTCTGCCGCTTCTTGAAAACATAAAGGGATTACCACCAGTGAACTACGTTGAGCACTTTAAAAACAAGTTTCGCTGGAGATGGTTACATCAGAGCTACAGTGCACAGGCAGTGCGTCTGGCTGTAGTTGCTTTCTTCCAGAACTGCTGATTAAAAGGAAGAAGTAACAAGTGAGGCACCAAATGCCCACTTTTAGCTGACCAGGCCTGTAAAAGCACTTCTGGGTCACCAACATATATTCATAGGGACGGACAAAAACTTGGTTTGCAACATAACACTCTGTCTCTAGATATGAATGCATCCTGCTCAGCAGTAGCAAGAGACCACCTGTCATTGCACTACAACTGTAACAGTGCTTCTCCTTGCATATAATATGCAAAATACCTCAATATAATTTTTAAGTGTTCCATAAGGAAAATGCAGGAAGAGAAAGGAAAGATCATAGCCAGCATTTTTTTTTTTAACAGACTAATAAAAAAAATATGCATTCCTGAACTAGAAGTGAGCTTGTTTACCATTCGTATGGCACTTGAAGCAGAGGTCTAGAAATTTCTGCAGACATGTTTGTCTAAGCCTTTGCAAAAAGTGAAGGCTTGTTGCAGCTACAAATGGGAACCCTTCTGCCTTAAATGATCTTGAAATGAGGCAATGAGGTAATGAGCCTGCAGGGAAAGCAGCCCCAAAATTATATTTGGCTTTTTACTGAACTCTATGAGAAAGATAATGTTATTATTAAAACACAGTATGTTCTGCAGCAGGAAAATTAGCATAGTACACGTTGTTTAAATTATCTATATTTATCTCACATCTCAAATTTTACAAAAGTAAAATTTCAGTAGGACAGAAGTATGAGATAGGTTATTACCTATAGTAGATTTTAAATGCAGCGATCAAGTTTAAGCAGTACAACACCATCTGTCAAATTTGAATTTGTTAGCTGAAGTGTAACATGGATTTAGCAACCCCAACAAGACGAATATAATAGAACAGGGCAGGCAAAACCTTCAGCCAAGTTTAGATCTCCATATATAAAAGTTTGTCAGAAATTGCCCACTGAGGGTTTTTACCAGGACAGCAACATGGGTCAGAGAGCACACCTTTGACTGAATACCTTTGTTGGCATACCTGGCTTATATATCTTGTACAGTCCTGGACACAAATAAATTCATTCCAGATGTTTTCCAGAGTTGACCAATTATAAACCCTTCTTTAGCAGTGATGCATTTTGTGAGTAGGGGAATGCTGGAAATCTTGTTAGCAAAAGGACAAGCATGCATTATTCCTTGACCTCTGGCATTCCTAAGTTCTCACTTCTAGTGGAAAGCGTGGGATCAAAGATAACTACAAGGTTAAGTCCTGTATAAAACTGAGCAGATCCTCCCAAACAAATGGCAGGTGCAGCCTTACAAAGGTCTTCCTATCCGTCAGTTTGCAGAGAATGGTTCTTAACAAACCTTGAAGATGTGCACAACATTACCACCAGTATTAACAACAAAAGCCCCCAAAAGACCCTGAAAAACCACAGTGGTTTATATTTTGTGTATTTCAGTATAATTTTTAAGAACCCTTCCTTTTTTGTTTTCTGCAAGAAGATTAAAAAAACAAACAAAACCACAAATTCCCCATTTATAGGGAGTTCTCCGATGAAAGAAAAAACAACAAAACCAAGGGTCACAGTCTTTCAGTATTGAATTTGGTGTGCAAAATTTCACTCCTTTGCATTTAAACAGGATCACAGAAGACTTTAATCAAAAAGCAGTAGAGGTAGTTTTTCAGATTTAGGTTGCTCCCCAGTCATTCAAGACACAGTTTTCAAAGCAGAACTTGCTTAAGTATTCTTGTGCAAGTAAGGAAGAAAGCAAGACTGAGGCTCTCCACTACTCCACTATATCCATGTCATTGCGACACAGCACATGCAAAGATATGAAAAATACAGAGCACAAATCACAGATTACAGCAATGCTGCAAGCAAATGCCACACATTGAACAAAGCTACACAAGCTAAAAGCATTTTCACAAGCAGTAATGCCCAAGGAGCTGAGTAACTGAGCTGCTGTGCCCAGGTTTGAGCATGCAGTCATCGAGTGCGCGTGGAGAGCATGCAGAACACATCAACAGCTCCAGGAGCTTTGCTGCTCTCACTACAAAGCAGGAAAAACGTAATTTGCTCTCAATTTCTGTAAAGACTTTGGAAATCGCTGAAAATTAGGTTGCCAAAGTATGTGAGAATAGGAATCCCTTCACTCCCTGTAAATAGTATAAAATCTACATATTCATTACAGATTTGAGTCTCTTTAATATTCCTAAATCTTTTCCTAAAAGTAATTCCTGAATAAACGTTGTGTGTTCTCTTAGCAGCCTCTAGTAGGAGACACTGTCTGATTTCACCCGTGTTATAGATTTTAACATCTGAATACTGTTCACCTTCTAAGAAGCAACAACAGTGAAGCAAAGAATCAATCAAAAACAGATTTAAGGAATCACTCATTTCGTGGAGAGGATTTGTGCCAAGCACCTGAACAGTGAACTAACAGTACTGCAGATAAAACCAGCAAACAAATTAGATGTGATGTATCAAATTAGATGCCAGTAAAGCATTAGCCTAGCATGCATGTTATAATATATCTAGGAAAAAATAGGGTCCTGCTTACTTATGACTCTTCCTTGCTAAGCAGTTCTGCTGCACCAAGTAGACATGCAGTAGTGAGCATGGGAAAGAACAAGACAAACAAAACCAATTGCTTTCTTTGTTGCTTTTTCCCACCAAGTTACTTCCAACACTAAAAATGCTGTGTCCAGCTACTGTCATATCTAGGTGAAACTGAAACATGGATTCTTCACCCTTCAGTTTCAGAGGAACTAACTTTTTTAGAGAACTGGAAAATCCTAGCAGGAAGAGCTTTCCTACTGTTCGCTGGCTCATCTAATCTTTCTTTCCCCACCCCCCTAGAGAACTTACTTCCAGGATTTTCCCAAGGTATTGGTGAGGTGGTCTTTCAGGGCTGCTAACCTTCCCCCCAGGAGCTGCAGTTGGCAGGTCATTAACCCATACCTTGTGAATGTATTCACATTCCAGAGCAGCAGAGGCAGACAGGAATGCATGAACTGTGTTAGCTCAAACTGTTCTCTATCCCCTGTGAGAAGGCAGACAGCAGAACATTGAAGCAGAGGCAAGAACATGCACTTTTTCATCATCGGCATTAGAACAGCAAAAGCTCTTTGAGATGGTCTTTGAGAAGCAGAAAACTGGATGCAGCACCCTTGTTTTTCACGCTAGAGTATCTCACACTTCAAAATAGGTAGGACCAACATGTCAAGTTACAGGGGATAGGTCTGCAGAACTGGGGAAGGGAGAGAAAGCAACATGCAGGAGAAAGCAGGATGCGCAGCTGCTGTTGCAAGTGTACACATGGAAAGAAAGAGAATGGAGGATTATTTCACAGAGGATACCATATCAGCAAACATAAAGTGGTCCTTATCTTGTTTGTTACATTCCATTTATTGTCAGATAGAACTGCCATCCTGTCTCTCTCAAGCAATTTACAAGACGCCCGCAGAAATGGTGAAGCTTGCGATATGGTCACAAGCACCTCTTTGGTACCTTTGTTCTGCAATATTTGGACGTTTTGTACGTGGGCAGTACATGCTCAACTGCTACCAGCGTCTGACCCAAAAAGGAGAGAAGATAGAGTCAAATGATGCCCCTAGTCCTTCTTTTTCCTGTCCTAGAATAACAATCAGAGCCTGACATGGCTAATTCCTTCCCTGCTGCATGGCAAACTGTATAGGCAATGGAGATGTCCGTGGGTGAGGAGGATAGAGGCCCTGTGTGCATGAAAGCACTAACATCAGGAGAGCAAAGTGATTTCCAGTAATTGCAAGGCTGCAGCAAAGCAGGAACACCTTGCTATAAAAGCCAAGACTACGAGCAGTACAATGCAGATTAACCACTTGGTTGCCGCTTACCATGCCAGGTACATTGGGCTAAAGGCACCTCCATCCAGTGCTGCCCGACGTGCCAGGTACATCCCATGATGTTCCATTGAAATCACAACAGGCCATCAATAGAACGTGGCTGCACGGATGCAGAATGTAGAACCAGGCGCTGTTAAATGCAATTAAAAAACGGCAATCAAAATTGAAACGTACATTTTAAAATGGCCATCTGCCTTAAAAATGTAACTACGAAAACAACCTCCCCTCCACCCATCTCCCCCGAGCTGATCTGTGACAGAAAGAGCAGAAGACTTCTGCACTTTTCCTTGATGACTTGATCTGTCCACCTCCATTCAGGACTCCAATGGCACTGAGTTTCAGGGGTACCAGGGAACACATATCCAAGAACAGCAGATCCCAGGCTATCTGCACCAGCTTCCCTACTGCCTAGAAATACAGGCAGGTAATATCACCATTAGAAATGCTTCTGTAATGGAAAAAAAAAAAAAAAAAAAAAAATGGTGCCAGAGCTTCACAGTCTTGTTACCCACATACAGACAATGGAAATAGTACTTAAATGCTGATCCTTCATGTTGTTCCCTTTTCCCTGTTCCCCTTCCCAAGCTCTTGAAATCCTCTCATAACATCTCTGATGTTATGGCATGGATCCAGGCTGAGTCCTTTGGCTTTTGTTACATCTGTGGAGCAAGGAGGGGGGGAGGAAAAGAGAATATTGAACCCTCCTGATTATAATGATGCTTCACTAATAACTTTATTATCCACTCTTGGAGACTGGAAATGATGTTGATTCGTAGTGGACTACAGCTCATATGAGAGTCATGAAACTTAAGACATACGATTCCACCCTTCCCTGCCCAAAAGAAGAACAACATCCTTTTCATGCCAAAAAAAGCACATCCCACTGATGCACACAGCTTGTTAAACCTAGGGTATCCTCTGCAGTGCATATCGTCCTCTTCCAAGAGTCTCTGCAGTCAGCTCTGGCAGCGTTATCAAGGAGGACATTCTCAGGAAAGATGCTAAGCACAGGCCTCTCCTTACAATTGTTGTTGCTCGAAGCAGGTAAAAACCACCAAGAAATAAACTTGCAGCCTCGCAGGGATTTAAGACAGGACTTTTGCATAGTTCATATCACATTGATGGCCACATGTCTCCATCTGTGCTACTGCAGATAGAAATCTTACGTTTAAAAAGTTAGAAGAATATTGATTACCATTTCAACCTTAAAAGGCTGAATGGAAAAGACTGACAGCAGTGAATCTTATCTGTATGAGAGTGAATGTAAGGGACAGCAGTGGCATGGCAAATTGGAAGTGTTTTCATGAAAAGGACACCAAATGAGGAGGTCTTGATTCTTCTTGGACATCTGCTGGGCTCAGACACATCCCATCATTCCTATCTGCAAACTTATCCTCACAGTTCTGTTACTTAATCCCTTCCATAAGAATAGAGCTTTCGTACTCAGATTGTCCTGTTTTGACTGCTCTATACTGTAGATTTTTAAATATTGTCAATACAGTGAAGAAGTGAAATGTGTTTGCTTCCTGACCTGGGCTATACTGAACCAAGAGCATTTGCTGAAATACAGACCAGAGCTCCCGCTCTCCAAGAGCACACACCTTGCATAAAAGCAACACATTCCTGGCTGCACTTGCAGCATCAGGGCTCTGCAAAACACTCAGCAATAGTGGCAGTACTCAGTTTAAGAAAGACTGAATGGTGCATTAAGGTATTTATTGGACTGGTTTTGAGACAGTAGCTCTAGTGCAGATTTACATCCAGATTACAGTAATTCCTGCTACTGTGAAGCAAGAAACTCTTCTCTATGGTTGTGTTTTCCCTCTAGGGCAGAGATTAGCAGAGAGCTGCTTAACACAGAGGTGTTTTCAGCTACTAGAGCTGCAGTCAGAAATGAAATTTCCTGCAATTCCTAAACAGAGCTTTTGTATATTATAAATTTATTTTCACTGTTGACACAAAGACTTCCGAAACGTTATACATGGAGGAGAAAGGAAAAGCATAGACATCAGAGATGTTGTCAGGCAGAGCCAGGCACTAAAATTTCTGGCAAATCTGCAGAGTACAGTTGAACTTAGCATAGCAGTGGCACAAAACACATAAAGGCTCAGAAGCAGTACATGTTGGGTGCTCCTGCAGCCCTGCAACAGCTGACAGGGCTCAGCCCTGGCTTGATACTGCATTACAAGTGAGACAGGCATACCTGATGCTGATCTAATGACTCCTTATTCCAATAAAATACCCACATATTCAGTAAAGTAGCTCAGTCCACATGAGAGGAATAGTATCTGTACACACTCAGCAGGTACAGGCCCTGTGGTATGCAAAATTCCTGTTTCCCACCTACCTTTGAGCATTGGTGCATAGAATTTTCTCTTCACAATGCAAGAATTTAGGATGTAATTAAAGGACTGTTGCTGCCTTCCAGCTAATCCTTGAGAGTTTTAGGCAGAATCTATACCCCAGTGAATTACATGGAATGAAAAGATGCTAAAGGTCCTAAACCTTGGGATCTATTCCTCAGTGTGATAGGCCAGGGTTCACAGGTGGTGCATGGAGTGGTAGCTGTGTGCTGGACATTGCTTTGGGAGCAAGAGCACACTGTGTTGGAGAAGGAATGTCATGACCCTTTTCTAACAGAGCCTGTCTTACAGCAACCTTCCAGTTGCAGCACAGCTTTAGGTCTCTGAGTCACCACGGGTACATGCTGATAGTTGGGTTGTGAAATGAAGCAATTCTGCAACAAGTGCACAGTTCTTTGAACTGTCCCTGTGACTGGAGAGGGATCTCCAGGACAGGGATGAGGTAGATAGCTAAGAGTGTTAAATCCACCAGCTGTTGTGACTCAGACCCATCAACGGGGTATCAACGGGGTTTGTTAGAGCAAACAGGGCCTCACAGCATTGGAAGAAATGGGAGAGCCTGAGAAAGATCCTCCCAATTGGCCTGCTTATTTTTATTTCTTGTGTGTACTCAGCAATTTTTTCTGCAGTTAGAAGCAGTCTGTGGAGGAGCATCTGCATAGTGCTAATGTTGGGAACTTGTTGCAGTAGATTACACTAAGCTCCAGGCCAAGGGGTGCAGAGAGGACATGGGCACTAAAAGCCTTGGACCAAAATGTTATCTCTCTTGCCATATGCCAGATGCCAGGGAGCTCAGAAACAAACTTTGCCATCTCATTTTTTTTGTACAAGACCAAATTTCATTCACTTATTTCATCTGTGCCTGTGGATGCAGCAGCAGCAGTTGTCCTTAACACAAATAATAAATGCCTTAAATATGGCACCTTTTGCACTTTATCCACCTTTTTTTTTTTTTTTTTTTTTTTTTCCCCAAGAACTGATTATGTGCTCCAGCCTCTACTTCCAGATAAATACTTGCCCTCAGATTCTTCCTGCCTGCTTCACTCCTGTGAAGTTTTTCAAGCAAATTAGCTTAAGAATTGGCCCTGGCAGTGTCAAGACCCTGCCCAGCACCCTTCCAAATTGTATGCCTAAATTACCATCCTGAACCTCAGACATGGGGTGCTTTGTGACTACACTGTGTTTCTGCCACTCTGAGCCTGCCAAATGAGAGGATGCCAGAAAGCTACTGTTGCTTGTAAAAGCAGAAGACTTTACAGGCTCAAGGTCTTGCAAACTAGATAGATTTGCAGCCAAATGCATCCAAGATGCAGATATCCTAAGGGGAAAGAGGGCTTATGGTGAGATACTTGAATGTTTTGTGTAATTTTACACATGTTCAGAGTTTTTCATGTTTCCTTGGCTTCCTCTTCAGATGTCAGTGGTCCCTCAAATTCTCATTTCATCTGTCATTCCTCTCTCATCTTCACTTGATACTACAGACTTTTTTTAAACTTACTAGCTGCAAGGAGGTCACTCTAGTATGCTTCCAAAGTCCTCCTCTTCTTAGAAAGGTTCCCATGCACAACAGTGGTCCAGGGCAGCAGATATCTCAGGCACATTTGGCCAGCCTTCTCTGTCATAGGGTTTATCAGCTTCAGTGATTACAACTCCAGGCAGTTACAAAAGGTGACCCAGTATTATGGGATGTTAAAAACTTTGAAACAATGCAAAGTATCTTTCCTTCTCTATGCAGTATTCTTGTCAGTGTCAAAGATTTTCTGGCACTTCTCAAAACACATAGATTGTAGGTTCTTATCATAAATCAAGCCTCAAGACATTTCTCCATTTAAAAAAAAAAAAAAAATTAAAAGGGGAGGGGCAAATCAGAGAAAAAGGTAATTCTGCCCAAGGATTTTGAAAAGGAGATTAGCAGCCTGTGCATGTACTTTTACCATGTAATCTGGAAGTTCCTCAGGACAGGACCCCCTGAACACACCATACTGAACCATACACACACCTCATAGCAAAAGAACCAGCAACTCTCTCATCAGTTCCAGACTGTTCAGCTTCTAACTCAACACTGCCAGAAGGCAAGACTATAACAAATTAACACCATTCACAATTCATTGAAGTTGCTGTTCCATTGTTTATTTAAAACACGCAAACACACACACACACTCAAGCTGGCTCTCTGCTGCCATCATCCAAACCCAAGATTTGTAGTGACAGAGGGACAAGCAAAGGCAATCAATTAAACTCATACAGAGCAGCAGTTACTTCACTGGAACTCTACTTAGGTGTTGCTCTTTCACAGCAAGCAAAGCAAAAGAATGCCCACACTGTTCCAGCCTTTAAGACAAAGGTGTAAAAATCCTTATTTCAGCACTTGAATAGAAAAGTTACAAAAAAGAAAGAGCCCCAGGTTTGAAAGGACTCAAGCACAAATATGGGTTGGGCAGAGAATGGCTTGAGAGTAACCTTGGGAAGCATTAGGAGTATCAGCTGATTAAAGACTCAACGTGAGCTGGCAGTGTGTGCTTGCAGCCCAGAAAGCCAACTATATCCTGGGTTGCATCAAGGGATGTGAGACCAGCAGGTTGAGGGAGGCGATTCTGCGCCTCTGCTCTGCTCTTGTGAGACCCTGCTTGGAGTACTGCATCCTGTTCTGGGGACCCCAACACAAGGACGTGGAGCTGCTGGAGCAGGTCCAGAGAGGGGTCACAAAAATGATCAGAGGGCTGGAGCACCTCCCCTACAAGGACAGGCTCTTCTGCCTGGAGAAGAG